TGTTTGGAATTGGAATGGAACAAAAAAAAAAAAAAAACAGATTAGAGATTCAGGAGAAGAAGATGAAAGAAGAAGATAAGACAAGATCTCACTACCACCACCACAATCAACGATCCTCTTTCAATCGAAGAATGGGCTAGGGTTTTTATATGAGATTCTCAAAAAAGGGTGTAAAAAAAAAAAAGATTGTTGATCGCCGATCGACTTTCAATGTAGATTGTCACTCGCTATTGGTTAGATGATGGAGAAGATCGTCGTCGCCGTTAGTAGATGAGTAGGGTTTTTTTTTTGGGAGAGAGAGAGAGAGAGGGAGAAGAGTGTGTTTGTTGTTGGAAAAATAAGAATAGGTTAGGTTTACTGAGTGAGATCAGAAAAATGGGACATAAAAAAAAAATGGAGACAAAATGAACGGGACGGGTGAAATGAGTGAAATGATGGATCAACTGCTACCCGATCTGAACCTGCGAAAACTCAGAATCTGGACCCATATCTGCCCGTCACGTGTCATGCATCCACCCAAATGGGGTCAGGCTGGGCGGGTCGGTCGATCCGCTGCACAGCTTTAGCTGAAAATGTCATGTTAAATATAATTGAAAGCTTTTGTCGACTAAAAAATTAGTCGTCAATTGTGGACTTTTAGCGACTAAATATTTTTTAGTCGCCAATTACCTTTCCTGACAATCATTCAATGACAAAGCTAGTGACCAAAACATTTAGTTTGCAAAAGGTTTGGACGCCTAAAATGTGACTTTTGAAGACTTTTGGTGAAAATTTCTTGGGTACTGTGTATTTGCGTGCGCAATTATAACTAGTTTATTATCCTAATTAATTTCAATACACTTGATTAACTAATAGTAGTTTTTAAATTGAGTAGGAAAAAAAAATTCATAATTCAGTAAGTACCCAATATGGGTATGACATGTTTGTCGACATACCCATGCTTCATAGTCTCAAGATAATTCTAAATGAGAATTTATATATTTTTTTGCAAAGTATATACTATTTAAAAGTCATTTTCATAATTTGGTGGTTGGTGTAAGGGGCAGTACCCTTTGTCCAACCATTCGAATCCAATTATAGTTGAGTTTGTAGGATAAAAGTCATTTAAATTATGATGAATTTCTCACATAAAATTACATTATTTAATGCTAATTGAATTTATAAATATTTATACACAAGCATCAACATAAACCATTATAATCTCACAATCGTTACAATCATCATTAATATTGCTGCAACCATCATCACTGTCACCATTATGAAGCCACCATTGCTATTACCACGACCTTCATTATCATTGTTATCATTATCATAAAACATACCATCATTTTAACTAGTAAAATTTCATGATCTTTAAATAGAGAAATTTAACCTTAAAATTTAGGTGAAATTATTAAAAAAGTGAAATTTCTAGTAAAGAAGTAAAAATTATAAAATTAAAGGTAAAGATGAACTAGTGAGTAAATAGAAAATTTATTAGTTAAGGAGAGTTGTCACCAGTGGTTTTGTTGGAGCAACAAGTGATTGTCATTATATTTTTAATTAGCTAACGATAATTTGATTTTCGTAATTAATTTGTTGTCTAATTTTTTCTATAATGTCTGTAATTACAAAAATTTTAATATTGTTTAATTAAAACTTGATAGTAATAATTATTTCATTATCTTCGCCTAGTGAAATTTCATTTTCTTCAAATAGTGAAATTTCATTTTCTTCAAAAAGTGAAATTTAGCCTACAAACAAACAGAATATTAGATGGGCCACACCTCTATCATAATCCCATCCCTTCTTCTACACCAAAAAAAAATAAATAAATAAAAAACAGGGCCAAAGTGAAATATCTAGTAAATGAGTAGAACTTATAAAATTAAATGCCAAAGACGGAATAATGAGTAAATTAGTATATTTATTGAAGGGTTTAATTGTATCATTTTATAGTTTAGATAGTAAAAGAATACTTGGTGATAGTTTCAGAGGGGGAGAGTTAAAGTGAGACTTTATGCTAATTTCAGTGGAGATGAGTAAATTGATATCTCATGATAGCTTTAGGAAGGTCAAATATTATTATAATACAGGGGGTGTGGGACATTTTCGTATAACGGAAGAGAGTCCTACAATGACGTAGACTTGTGGAAGAATCACGAGTTTAATAAGAGAAAAGTATGTTTTGAACCCTTTGACCATTGACTATAAATTTTAATTTTTCTATCGACAAAATAGAGACAAAGAGACATAAAGAGAAAGGTAGAAAAAAAATAAAAGGCATGTGATGGATCTAAATAAGTGTCGGTAGATCTAAAATCTTATTGCCGCAACAATGATGACGAACAATCATGAGACATAGTTTGCATGGTACTGGATTGTTATGAGACAAAGTTTGTATGGTGATGGACAATCGTTATGGATATTCAATTATTTATTTATGACAATAAAAAATAATATATTTAAAAAAAAAATTGAAAAACTAATACTATGTTTGATTTTGAATTGAAAAAGTTATTTTTGAATTTTCAATACATTTTTTTAAAGTGAATTTTATTAATATTTTAATTAAAAATTTTAATTTTTAAATTCAGTTTATCTAGATATAATTAAAAAGCAAAATGTTTATAAAAAATCTATAAATACAAAAAATAAATGATTTTTTTATATTATATATTTGGTGTAATTTTATTTTTTTAAATAAAATTTATACTTTAAATGTGTTTAAATTTTGTACTTCTTCTTCTTTTTTTTCCTTTCTCAAACTGAGTCATAAAATTTCAATAAAATAAAATTTATAAACAATAAATAATAATTAAGAAATATTAATTTAACAAGTATAACATATTTTTCACAACTAAAAAAAAAAATTAGAAACAAATTTTTTCACAAAATTTTATCTTAGCCTCCGTTTGGGAAGTGGGTTGGCTTTTTGATTTTTTGGCTTTTTTGACTATTTTAGCCTGGGCTAAAAAGTTTGGTTTGAGAAGGGCTTTTTGGCTTTTTTGACTTTTTTTGTGAGAGAAGAATGTAATGATTATGACTTGAATGTGATATTTTGTTTTTTGTGGTTAAAATAGCTTATTTTGTCTTTTGTGACTAAAATAGCCAAAAAAACTTCGTTTAACTCTTGCCAAACAGAGCCTTAATTTAAAATTCCCTCTAAAAATTTAGGACCATCAAAATTTTGCCCCCTAATCCCTCCTACGTTTCTCATGCCACTTTCTCGGGAGCTTCTATATACACACCTAATCCCCTCTATACACACACTTAATGATATTTAATTTTATTACAATTTTATCCCTAAGTGAAATTACTATTTTAGACATCAACCAAATTCATCTCAATGCACACATCCAGACTTACTATTCACGTTCATCTCAATGCACACATCCAGACTTCACGTTGAAGCTGAACCTTCCTTATTCGTAGCTTCTTCCTCATTCATTATTGATATGGAGGATTTGTCTTTTGAAAATCAGCAAATAAGTATTTATGAGAAACATAGCGAAGGAAATGCGAGTTTCTTTTCTTTTTTTTTTTTCCAACGTCGTTCGGATAACCAGAACCGAATTGTGTTATTTGGTTCGGAAATCTACTACCGAAATAATTATTTATTTTTGGAAGTTGTTGTCCGAACAAACTAATAAATTTCGGAAGTTGTTGTCCGAACAAATTATTTAATTTCAGAAGTTGTTGTCCGAACAAAGTTAACTTTTACAACATTCAACTTCCGAAAGTTGAAAATAAATTCGGACAACTACTTCCGAATGAAGTAAAAAATTTTTTTTGCAAACTGTATACCAAATTTACAGTTTCGAATTGCAAATTAATCTTTATAATGTCATTAAAAATTTGTAATGTTATACAAAACATGCATAAGAAGGGAGAGAAAAAAAAAAAGAAAAAAAGAAAAACACTGTTCGGAAGTTTAAAACCGAAAGTATATATACTGTTCGAAAGTTGAAATCCGAAACAAAAAATTAATTTCGGAACTTGATTGTTGTTTGAATTTAATATATTCGGAAGTTGTCTGCCGAAATAATCAAAAAGTTTCGAAAACCTACTGTTGAAATAAATCACCAATTTCGGAATCCTACTTCCGAACAAATGAATTAATTTCGGCAAACCAGTTCCGAACGGTTTGTTTACACTCCGTGGGCCTTCGTCCGTTTTCAAAATGATAAAAACAAAACTCTACGTTTTGATTAATTCATTTGTGATTTATTTCAACAGTAGGTTTGTGATTTATTATTACTGACAGAGGTTGGAGATGAAAGCTGTGTGTGTGTATTTGGGGATGAAAGCTGTGTATGTGTATTTGTACACGGTAAGCTTCAATGGGTGTGTGTATCCTCAAGGTTGAAGATGTAGCTTAAGCTTCAATGGGTGTATGTATCCTCAAGGTTGAAGATGTAGCTTAAGCTTCAATAGGTGTGTGTATTTGCACCATTGGGAGAGAGCTGGGTTTGGGGTCGAGGGGTGTGTGTGTGTGAGGGCAGATGTGGAATAAACCGTGTGTGTAGTGAGTAGATTAATTAGGAATTAATTTTTTTGGTGTGTGTAGTGAGAAAGATGTGTAAAGAGGGTATTTGGTGTGTGTAAATAGATGCTCCCCCTCTCTCTCACACAACACAACTACTTGCTCTCATTTCTCCTCCCTCACGGAGGGACGATTTTGTTGGTCCGATTCCACCGTTGTACCGCCTGAAATCCAAAGTTGATTCACGAACTTGGACTATTTCATTTTGACCAGGTACGTTGATTTCTCTTTCTCTCCCTGGATCTTATTATCTGCCCTAATTTCTCACAAATCAACTCCTTCTCTTAGCAATCTCTACCTCACACACTTTCACCACTCTGTAATCACTACCGTACCACGCCACCGTCTCTATGAATACAGTGGAACCCCCACATTCGCACGACCCATCATTTCTGCCAGCCAATCCCACCGGTAAGCCCGCTTTCTATTGCTTTTGTTGTCCCTCTACATCCTCTTGCTTCCTGCCAGCGTTTCCTAATCTCTCTCTTTCTCTCTCAGCCACCATATTTCGTTCTGGGTATATGTTAATTTCAAGATTCGGTAATTCGAGGAGCATTTGTGTTGGTACTTCACATTTTTGTTTCTTTGATCAATTGCAACTTCAGTTAAACACATAATATATTTATGTTGGATGTACACATGAATTATTGAAAGAAAAAACCTAGTGTGAACTAAGAATTTGGGTCTCGTGTTGTAGTCTATTTAATCAATTTATTGACTTTTTACTGCTATAATGTGTGTAATTTCTTATGTATGATTGGTTTTGTATATTATTTGAACAAGAGGAAAATGACTAACAAGGCACGTCACAACGGAAAAAATCTATGCAATTAGTCCACAAAAACAAACTTTAATCATGTTAAAACCTCTTGAGGTTAAGGGTAAAGGGGTGGTAGTTCAAATCTGGTTTTAGGTTTTCAGTTTTACTTATTATTATTATTATTATTATTATTATTATTATTATTATTTATTTATTTATTTTTTGGTTTGGTATGATGCTTTGGATTGAATCCTCCAAATATCATTGCAAGAAGTGGTTTACAATTCATTGATTTAAAAGTTCATAGTTTGGGGAAGGTTTATAGTGATTGAAGTTCCTTAAAATAGTGATTTAACTTTAAGTTTTGTTTAAACGTTGAAACAAACTGATTAATATCTGAAACTTATTTACGAAATGGTAGTAGAATTGATAAAAGTTGTTGGCTATCTCTTGCAATGAATTTGGTCCAAAGCATTTATAATTTATTCTTGATTTATATATATATATATATATATAACAAAACAAGGGGGCTGATGAGATGGTTATCGTATATGGACATTTGATTCAATTGTTGAGATAACTGTCTTTCTTTCCTTTAGCTTTCCACCGTTACATTACAAATGTAAAATGTATGTGAGAGGATCTATCTTTGACGGCTCAAATTCATTATTTGCTTCAATCGTAGGGCTCAAGTTGAGATGAGTTCAAAATTCAAGACTCAAATCTTGTCCGAAGTTGACAATCTCATCAGTACTCATTCTTTGCTCTCTCTCTCTCTCTCATCAAATGACACTCTCATCGGTTCCCCCCCTCTCTCTCTCTCTGTCTCTCTCATTCACTCATGACTCCCTCTGTCTCGATCTCTACCCAACACCAGTTAATTCAATTTCTCTCTCTAACTCCCCCTCCTTTCCCCGATTTCTAAACCCTAGATATGTTTATGTTTTCTACAATATTTACCATCAAATTTGGTTTTTTGCAGTAAAAAAAATTCGCATTTTGGTGCTATTGTTTCCAACTCTATAAATTCAAACCTATACCCTATTCTCTGGTTCTCTCTATAGATATTTGTAGATCTATTTATATGATTGTCCATTTTTGAAGTTCTAATTTTTACGTTTTTGTTATTATTTGTAGCCCTAAGTTATTTAATGCAGTTGATCATGTTATTCTTCCTAATGGCAATGGCCTAAAGGTTAGTTATTTCTATAGTCCTATCACAGAAGTTTGATTGTTGTATGCTTGTGTAATTGAATAATATTATAATTATGTTTTTGTAAAGTTGATTTTATCTTATATTATTTGTGGGATTTTGTAGTGCGAGTTTCATATTTTATCTTGTATTGGTTTTTGTAATATCATGTGTCTATATGAAATGTTTATTAGGGTGATTTGTTTTAGTAATTTTTGTCTCTTTGAAGTTTAGATTTTATAATTTTTTAAACTCCTGTTAAATAATATTTGAATTTGTTCTAAAAGGAAGTTGGTGGGCGTAGAAAAGGATATCAAAGCATTCCTTGTGAAGGAACTATGATGATTTAGATGAAAACTTTTGATATTACTCTTTTTTTGAAGATCATTTTGTCCGTGATTTTATATCAAGTTAGCTTTGCCCTTACAAAATTACAAGTGACTAATGTACCGACAATCAATGTCATTGCTAAGTTTGTAATGGTATTAGGCTGGTTTTCTTTTGTTTGTGATGACCAAATATATCCCCTCAGGACTAGACTATTTGTTGAGAAATATTTATCAATTAATTCCATTTCTATTTATGTTTTTTTGAGAAATTCTTCACTTCATGCTCTTTTTTGTTTACAATAAAATGGAATTCTTCCATTGACTTAAAATGCATGTATGGCTTGACATGGTGAATTCAATAAAATTGAATTCTTCTTGGTTTATTTTTGTCTCACTAAATGTAAATTTTATTTTTATTTTTTTTTGATTTTATGACTTTTTACTTGTTGGTTTTGTTATTCTCTTTCAAGGTTTGATGTCATGACAATATGTTTAAATCTTTTTCGAAAGTTTATAGATTCATAAATTATGTTGCTTCTTCGAACCTAGACCCTTAACTGGCTTCGTGCGTAATATTTTCTTCAAAACTTCATGAGATTTGGGATATATACAAAAAAATAATATATTTTTATACTCGGTGTAATTTTAAATTATTTTTAATTTATACTTTCTAAATATATTTAAACTTTGTATTTTTTTTTCACAAATTGAGTCATAAAACTCTAATAAAGTAAAAAGTATAAACAATAAATAAAATTAAAAAAATATTAATTTAACAAGCCTGATCTATTTTTAACATCTCTAAAAAAATTAGGAACAATTTTTTTTCACAATAATTTGAAATTCCCTCTCAAATTGGAGATTACCCCAAAATTTTGCCTTACCCTTCTACATTTCTCATCTCACTCTCACACACAACTCCTTCCTCATTCCTCCCTCACAGACGATTTTGTGTAAATCCAAAGTTGCCACCGCCTGAAATCCAAAGTAGCCACTGCTGACTATTACATTCTCACCAGGTAAGTTGGTCTCTCTCTCTCTCTCTTTCCAATTTCTAAGACATATCTATCTCCCTTATCTTCTATATGTTTTTGAATGGGTTTCCAAAATGGGTATATTAGATGTCTGATTTTTTGATTGGATTTCTAACCCTAGCCATCTCCCTGACCTCCTTATTGCTATTAGGTTTGAGTTAAAATTTTGATGTTGAGGATTTGAGAAGATGTTTTCTCATCTTTGATGTCTCCCTTATCTTCTGTATGTTTTTGAATGGGTTTCCAAAATGGGTATATTAGATGTCTGATTTTTTGATTGGATTTCTAACCCTAGCCATCTCCCTGACCTCCTTATTGCTATTAGGTTTGAGTTAAAATTTTGATGTTGAGGATTTGAGAAGATGTTTTCTCATCTTTGAGAAAACCCTTATTATTATTGTTATTAGGGTTCATATTTGTAATTTAGCTATTATGTCACTAATCTATTACCATTCCTTTGTTTTTATTGTCCAGTTTTGGCCATAAATCTCATAGACATTGTTCTCAACGTATAGAACTTTCTGTCTTATTATATTTGGTTTCCTTCACCTTTTTGTTTCAGAACACATGAATGGTTTTCATGGTGATTTACTTCCTCTCCCTCTCTCTCTCTCTCTCTAGTTAAAATCGAGTTAATTGCAATTAAAAGTACAAAATTGATTCAAAAGGCAGAGTACATGACATAGAATTTCATACTTCTTTTGTAATCTTTTCTTTCAAGGTCAAGTTTCAAGGTATAAGATGGTCCCAAAAACTCCAAAAGAAAAAAATAGCAAATATTTTTCACTAAAATGATGAGGTTTTAATATAAGATTATTGATGGCTACTAGAATGACATTATGTTGTTTTCCTGGTGTTTCACATATGCGTCACCATAAAATATTCCTGGGTTTCTTTTGTCCTTATAAATATCCACTATTGAAAAGGATATTTGATGATAGGCATGTCGATTAATTATGCGTTATACGGTAATATTTAGTCGCCATCAGCTTACACCAATGTGCTAAAAGATATGTGATGAGCCTAGCAGCTAGCATAATTCGTTTAAAAACCAATGAATGGAATAGCAAAATAAGCCGAAGCGAGTTAATTTTTCTATGATTTTTTTTGCTTGTTTTCAATTATTGCTAATGCTAGTATTCTTTATCGGCCTTGTTTAATTTGGAATCCTTTTAAAGTTGTTGGTAGTGATTCTGAATGGACATCTATTTGTACAAGCTCACATAGGAGAAAATGGGAAATTGATATGGATTAAGAAAAGAAGAGAAAAGAAAAATGACAAAATGAATGAAGAAAAATAAATGTAGGAAGGGGGGTGGCTGATTGTTTGTGTTTGCATTGACATTGTTAATTCTTCCTTAATGGGTTTGATTTGTTTTATTTTTCTCTATTTGGTGTTAATTCTAAAAGTAGGTTTATATATGTTCTTCCTTAATGGGTTTAAATGTATTCTTTTAAAAATAGATGTGTTTTTAATGTTTAGAGATTTTACATGTTATGGTGATTTGGTAGAATTTAATTGAGCTCATTACCATTGTTGAATGTGACGATGGAATGTGTGGAAAGTGAAACATATATTTTCCCCTATTTGAAGAAAGTGTGAGATTCTTGGGTGTGCAAAAGTGAGATTGTATATGGTATGGTAATTTATTCAAAAAATAAATAAATAAATAAATAAAATTTGTATATGGTATGGAATATATGAGTTTAATATTTAGAATATTTCTTTGAATTTTAGGATGGTTGGATTTTTGTTGGAATAGTTGAAAGTCTTCTTATGGAATTTTTTGATCAACATAGAGTTGGAACTTGGCCGTGTAGGTTATGAGTGGACTAGTGTGAAACATTTGCTTCGTGCTTTATATATATTTGCTACAAAACTTGGTTTTACAATGGAAATGCCGCTCCTAGGGACTAGTTTTCAATAGGATGTTTAGACAAAATTTTAAGAAATTTTAGCAGAAATTATTGGGATTTTGTTTCTGGGTGGTCTAAAAATTCTGGAAGTACTATGTAGAGGCTTGTAAGAAACTTCTCAAACATGTTGGGAAACAATCGAAAATGCTCCCCACAAAATCATCTCTTTAGCTATACTCCTGATGCATTGTTTCCTTCTTCAAATAGAGTTCTTACTATTTTTTAAATTATTTCGTATAGTTTTAATATGACATTTTTTTGCTGAGGATTGAGTGATGTTAGCCCTATGTTTCTTTGCTTGAGTGTTTATTTTTGGCTTTTTGGGCACTTGATTGTGATAGAATCACAAAAGTTAAGTATCACTCTTCGAATGAGCTGAGTTTGGGTCTTTGTCAATTGTGATTTAATTTCCTATTTTTTGATATTATTGTGGTTCCTTTACAATTGAATTCTGGACTTATGCTGCTGTTTTGATAATTTCTTTTGGTGTTCTGTTTTGTTGGTGGTAGTAAAGGCTTCTTTGTAGCATTGATTTAGATTAGGTGTAGTCTTCTTTTATTTTGGAGAGGGAGGTGTATCATTGTCTTATTAATTATTTGTGTTTAAATTTCTTTCTTTCCCTTATTTAAAAAAGTTAACAGATTGACTAGTCAAAACGTCGTCTTTGGCTTTAAATCTAGAAACAACTAGCTTTCAATCAAAAGCTGCTACAACGCATGCTTGCTATTAGCTTATTTATGTACTTGAGGCATAGGTGAGATAGAATAGGACTTGTTTTTAGCCTCAAAGCATGTCTCACTCAGTTAGGTTACAAAATTATTGTTGGGGCTATACCCATCCAATCTGATATCAGTTTTTGACCATATCAGCAATTCAAATTTTGTTATTTCAACCGACTTATTTAACTATTATATGGACCTTTCAAGAGCCTTTGAGGCCTTTTGACCAGTTTGAAAACATAAAAGACCTTTGTGCCAAAATTTCCTGCACATTGGCTCCTCAATAGTCCACTTTCAAAGCTCACAAGTCTCAGTGAATTTCAAACCACAATTTGAAGTTTTTACAGCACCTAGCCTCATGTGTCATATTTATTTTAAGATAAGATGGACCACTTTTGACTTCAAATCAAGAGGCTTATCGATGTATATGTAGGCTTTTGTGAAGTATTATTTGAGGTTGATAATGTCTTTATTTGTATTGGGGATTCTTATATTTGGCTTTGAAGAATTGTGGATATTTAGTTATAGAGATTTAAACTATATGGGTTTCATTGGTTTTGTGTGTCTTTGTGACTTCATTTGCCCCTTGAGAAATTACATACTTCTAGAATTTTTTTAAAAATCTTGCTTAAAGAGAGAAAAGAATAGTTGGCCAACGTTGGTGGTGTGTTTTTCTATACCTATCATGTGATTCTTCTTCTTGATATTTGCCTTTTTCTTATAGGTTTCGAGTCTTGAAACTTTGTTTTGGTGTACTCTAAAGTTAATGATGCTTTGGGTTATCTTTATGGACTATAAGGTTTGAATGTTTTTTTTTTATAGGTAAACATCTCTTTGCAATTGTATGTTTCATAAGAAAACACAATTGTGCTGATCATTCATTAGGTACACAGCCATATTGAGTGTTATTTTCATGAAGTCAAGCATCATCTATGTCGTTGATTTTTGTTGTTATAGAGCATTATTGGACCTCATCAATTTAATTTAACATGTAATGCTAAGAAATAACATAGGTACTAGTTTTACTTTTTCCCAAATGCATGTTAACATGTGATCAAAGAATTCAAGAATTTTAACTATTGGCAGTTTCTTTTCATGTGAAAGTTACATCTTAGTTGACGGGATAGTTTTGAACAATCCCATTTCCTTTGGGAAAAGAAAAAGAAAAAGCAATCCTTATTGAACAAATTTAGCTTTTGTTTAATTGTTTGCTTAGGTTCAATTTATGTAGAATTCAAAATTAGTATATCAACCTTTGTTCCATCATCTAATGAACAAATTAAAATTATTTTTATTAAGTTCAGGTGTGAAATCTTGACTCACGAGCGAGGTAGACTGGAATTTTGAGCCTTGAGTGCAATTTGGAGAAGTGTTTATTGACCATGTGTTTTATTTATTTATTTTTCATTTTTGTCTAATTTATTGATTCTTTATTTTTGCTTTGTTCTATTTTTTTTTCATTTGAATTTTTTTTTTCCTGTCATTTCTTTTATTTAGTTAAAAAAGGAGTAATAGTGATGAGTGACTAAACCTTTGTTTTGTTATTTTTTTTCTTATCAAATGAACGTCTTTGAATTAGATTTTCAAAGGAAAACAAGATGAAAGGGAAAGGGGGTAGTTATATATGTCATTGTTATGCATATAGTGAATGGAGTGAATAAAAGTTACTGGAAGTCTATAATGAATTACTTATTTTTGAAGAAAATGAATGAAGATTATAGTTCCAATAGTAAAAAACAAACAATTCATTGCATTGTTGAGTCTTCCACAGTGCCCCCAAGTTCCAATAATTAGAAAAACTCAAAATTTACCTTGAAGAAAACTTAGAATACTTGAATGCGTCAGGTTGATTTGTGTTGAGGAATTTACATTTGACAAGAGTGATCAAAACATATCAAGCAACCGTTTAGATTTTTAATCATTGTGGGCTTTGTGAAAACAGGATGAAGATAAATAATGTGTAAGAAGATTAGAGATTATGAATAAGAGGTTGAAGGAGCATTAGAAGATGCTTGCCGACATCA